GACTCGCTGCGAGGGATAACTGTGCTTTATATAAATTGTACTATTTAGGGAGCAGTCATTGCTAACGCCGGGTGGGGTGGGGGGGAGGGCAACGGAAGATATTTCTAAACTCATGGCAAAGTTTTCATAGCCCCTCGTTCTTTTAAAATATTTTTTCATGCCCCCCCCCTTTAAATATAATAAATATTCATAGCCCCCTTCTTTCCCCTGTGATTAAACTTGCATTCCAAACATAACTACAGATCACAGGCGGCCCTATCTCGCAAACGACAGTATATTGAACTAAATTTTGGCACAAAAATGAGTGTAAAAAACATAGTATGGCAGAAAGAGGCTGTGGAGAATACCTGGAAACAGTTTTGAGAAATAATCTCAGCGAGATGCAGCGAAACGTGACTGTGTAAGTCTGTAATACAATTTATAAAGATTTTCTTATAAATACTCTGAACATATGTTCAGGGCCGTAGCGTGGGGGTATTGGGGGGGGGGAGAGGTAACCCCCTCCCCGCCCCCCCCAACTTTTTTAGAATTAACATATTCGGAAAATCAGGTTGGCCATTCGGAAAATTACGGCAATAATAGTATAACAAAATTTTATTTGTTAAATAGAGAAAATATAATATAATTGTATTGTCAGTATAAACTAATTACGAAATCATGGCATTTATATGTATAACATTTAACAAATCGTCGGTTTATTACTTCTCAGGGCCGTACCAACGGGCGGAGAGCTGGGGGGTGATGCAGCCCTCCCAATAATTCGCTAATAATCATTCTTTTTTTAAAATCATGCAGGTCTTTATCATTTAAATAATACTGCAAAGAATCATATTACCCATACTTTCCTGCAACTTCTCGGTCCTCTCCAATATATAGTTAACTAAATACGCCTTCGTCCATTTTGTACTACTAAATTGCAAGCAAATTGTAAATTTCGACATACTAAAACGCTGTTTTCTGACTATAAGAATTCTGCCAAAACTTCCCCCAAAGCCCAGGAAATGGCATTTTAGAGACTCTAAATTTAAAAATTTCCTCGGGCCTTCGGCCCTCGATCTCTGCCCCCAATCAAAAAGAGCTTCCTACGGCACTGCTTGCTTCTGTAATATGTCTGTGCGTAAAATATGCGTATTTTTGTTTGTAAATTACGTCTTCATTTTCCAGATAGCAAACACGTCCTTCGTAGCTTCGTATGCCATGAAATATTCGGACATTTTTTTCGTCATTTGGAATTTTTTGGACTACACCCCTTAACCTGTAAATGCTATCTACGGCCCTGCATATGATATCTGAGTTTGAATCATTTGTCCTAGTTTAAGTTATGTGCCTTTATGAGTTTATGATCATTTCCCAAGTTTATTTATGCCAAATTGCTTGCAAAAGAATTAAAAACTCTTGACAAAATGAAGTTGAATATATATGTATAATTTAAATATTCAAGTTGTACCGCGCCTACATCGGATGACTTTACCATACATTTGATAACAGAGAGCTATACCTCGACATAATTCTTGATCATACAGACTCAGTGATGCCAAAACGGTATATATAGAGGATATTAGACGGTTGCGAAGAGATATGGATTTTATGTTCGAGTGGCAAAAACAATATCTCACGAGTGAGCGCAGCCAACGAGTGAGATATTGCTTTTGACACGAGAACATCAATCCATATCTTCTCGCAACCGTTTAATGTTCTGTTTATTATATGGACTTACTCAGAGTGACAAAAATACAAACAAAGACGACATGTAAATAAGCACGCGAAAAACCAATATAAAAGCGATATTGATTAAAAATTATAGTGCAACGTAACATAAAACTAGAATAAATTTTATTTATCTCAAGATGTCTTTTAAACGTTTTCGTTTTATTTCCAACGTTAATTTCGTTCTAAATACGAACCAAAGACCATTTGTATTTTCAAAACAACAGCAATGAAAATGGCGGGAAATTTTCAACTTCGTATGTCACTAGCAGGGGTGAAATACGGAGAATACGCGCACTTGGCCCCGGATGTAGTGACGTATGAGTTCGACGAGTGTTTTAGTTTCCAGTGAAACACCATTGTCCGTATAATAAATCACGGTCTTGAATTGGCTTTAACAGTCAGGAGAACATGTTTAGAATTACACAAAGTTGACGGGATCACAGGATATATCACACTATTTTATAGCCATTCGACATCTCTACATAAAGTAAATCTTTGGTTTAACGTATCGGACAGAATACACTTCAACAATGAGAACAGTCTCAACCAAATCGTTCCCTCGATCGGTCGCTCGGTCTAAAAGATATTTACGAATTACGGCGAAGCGTGCTTTCTTGCTTAGTCTTGATGTCCACTGAAATCTGAAGTCGCTTGACTAATGTAATCCAACACTCAATGATATAGAGGAAGTCGTTTCATTATAAATACGAAATCTTTTAGGATTTCTTGTTGCAAATTTAAATTTTATCGCCTGAAACTATAACACACAAGTTGTAATTTTTCAAGTACACTCGTCTACCATCCCTTCCTAAGTACAATTTCAATTTAGCAGAGTTCTCGTTGCATTGAACACGAGTTTGTACCCAGAATCTGAGATTCATGTAACCAGCTCCGACCCAATCTCGTTCCCTGCAGAGCATGCCCGCACACAGGTTAGGGTTGGACATAGCTCTGAAGAATCGAATTTTTCACGTTGAATTTTTAACGTGAGATATACGCATGCTAGTGCTTTAATACGCAATTCTAATTCACTCGGGTGGCAACTGTTGCAATTTATATCAACAAAGTTTCAGAATTTTTCGTAGAAAATTTGATACTTTTTAGACTGAAATCAATTGAAAACAACTAAACATTTTGGGTTAAATACTGCGGATTGTTAAGAAAACAACTACCTGAAAAATGCAAGGAGAACTTCGACGTTTCAAGCGAAGACCGTCTTATACTCCTCATTCCTCAATAATGAGAGAATGTTTGTTGTGAAGTGTGGACCTGTAATTGATTTCTTTAAAACTGAAGCATTACAATTCCTTGACTGGATTAATGACAGTGCTTTCATGTATACTCGTGTTTTAGATTTATACTCTCCTGTCTCCTTATTGTATACTATAAATTTATATTGTAGTAAGAGTAGTGTTAAGGGAAATGGCAATATATATTTTTTATTTTCTCATTTGAAAGAAGTTTTGAAACTATATATATATATATTAATTTCTTTTACCGTTTTTCATATCTTGCTTAATTCTACAAATATTTTGATCGAAAGGAATGAAATGTCCGCCATCTTCAATTCAGTTTAGTGATATGCATGTCACGTCACAACAGGGGTCACTCAATATAATAATCTGGACAACCACTAATCAGTTTGCACTCAAAACTATACTCTGCCTGCCCTTCGAAATATCAAGATCATTCAAAACCTTTAAAACATATCTACCAATCAATATTTTGTCAGCAACGAATACTTTTATATGGTTAATCCCTGTTGTGACGTCACCAAAACTGCCGGTATGTTAATGAGATCAAAAATTTACCCAAGATGGCGGACATCTCATTACTTCAAGTGAAAATATTTCAAGAATTAGGCAAGATATGAAAAATCGGTAAAAGAAGTTAATATATAGTTTCAAAAGTTCTTTCAAATAAGAAACTAAAAAATATATTGCCATTTCCCTTGGGGTGGATCCTTGAGATCTTAAAATTGCAAGTTCCTTAAGAGCTTACTTCTTATTCAGATTTTATAGTGCTTAGAGGTTAGTGGTTAGGGTTGGGGTTAGGGTTAATGTTCGGTGCCGCGAATTTATTATTATAAATATGATAAATTCGGACGTGTTTAAGAATTTACTCATATAGTAAATTCAAAGGTGGAGCTCGTGCTGCCAAAATGCAAAGTGTGCTAGGGTTCAACCTGCCGCTATAGTATCCCAGATAGTTAAGCTTAAGTCAACTCTTATATGCTGCTGCTGTCTTCAGAAAATTTTATAATTACAGCATTAAACAGATCGAGTTAGTGAGATTGTTGCAGCCATGTTGTTGCCATATATAGTTCAAGTACATCACATCAAGGAAGGCTTTTAAAATTATATTTCCCAATCAAAATGTATGCTTTTACCATATCTCCTCTTTAAGTCCCAAATAGCCTATTTGTATCCGACATGACTGTTTATTGGAAGAAGGGCCTGAAAGCGTGATTGGATTAGCCAAAGTACAAGAACATCAAGCTTAATGGTGAATTCAAGACAATTAATTAACAAATCTATTCAGCACACATGTATTTCGCCCCGCTGTGAACAGATTTTGAGGGGACTTAGTTATTCTCTATCTCTAAAAGGGGCGTATTTGAGAGACAGCATGTTAAAAAGGGTAGACTAATGTTTAAATCTACAGTAAATTATTCAATATCTGTTAATTTTTTAAGACCTACTATAGGGTAAAGGAAGGTTAATTTAGTATAACATGTTATTTTCCCATCCAAAACCCTAAGAGCAGCAATCTTATATGCATGGTAAATCATTCATACACCCATTTCCAAATCTCAAGTCTCAATTAACTGTTTATATTTTGATTTTTAAATATATAATAGAAGTTATAGAATTTCAGCAGCAAACGTTCAAATTTTACAATTTTTTATAAATACTAAAACATATCTGCAAACACTGCATCCCACATAAGTCGTAGGTAATGAAGAATAGTGCATATTTAATTTAAAAGCAAACATGTTAACATATAATTTGTCGTAATAATTTGTTTTAGTTCATACTTTCGTCAATTGAGCCACATTCTGCAGAGTTATTTTGGCCATTCCTCGCCTTAATGTGCTTGTAACCGGTCCATGAATCAATAAATTTCGATTATCAGTATGTTTACCTGAGTATTATGTTTAAAGTGCCAGTGGCAGCAAAAAAAATTATTGACGATATTAAATCTAGGTATGATTTCTAGCGTATCCGTGAAAATATTTTTCAATTTGGTCAAATCGTTCCATTTTTATGGCGTTTTAAAGTTGGCTTTCAATGGACCTTGTCCGCCGTGGCAAGGAGTCTGGGTCTAGCCCAATTTCTGACATCACGCAAGGCAGTCGGCATTTAGCTTTGATCGATTTGGGTTGTTGTTTTGCTGTTTCAGTCGGTGATTCTGTTTTATATTTGCTCAAAAATACTATAATGTCTGACCATGAAACTGATTCGGAGGAGAGTTATCAAACTGATGACTCCGATATAAACTTTATTCCGGGGTACATAATGGAATGCCCTGACCTTGGAAGTTCGGATGATGGCTCGAGCGTTGAAGAGGACAACGCGGGCCTAGCATATGCCGATGAACCTTTGGCTGACGACGAGTGTCTACAAAACTACAACAGGCAAGAAAGTGAACGGCTAGAATTACAAGAAAAGCTAGGGAGAAGACTGGATGGTTCTGTTGAAGTGAGCCAGTGGTAAGTACTTGGTAAACATCGATAAAATTCGTGTTTGTTTCGGATTATTAATATCGAATATATGCGTGGAAATTTTATGATTTCTATCTATAAACTTCAAATGTTTTTCTCCTTTTTTATCACAGGTGCAATTGTGGGAATTGTGACATAACCTTACTAACAAATAATAGTGAATGTCATTGTTGTTTTGAACTGGAAGGATGCGAGGAAGCTATGAATCGCGAAGAAGTCATACAGGATCTCAAAGCCGAAGGCGTGCAAAATGCGAAGTGTGTAACACAACACCCGGGATTCAACCCCGTATGCCTTCAAAAGTGGAGTTTGAAGATGGCTGCTGACAGATATAAAACCAAAGATAAAAGCAAATACAGTCAAACGTCAACAGAGAATAGGTTAGACAATTTATTCAATTATGTTGTTAAAATTTTTCTTTGTTGCCAAAGTTTTACCTCTTGACTTGTTTATTTATGCACCTATCAATGTTTTCCCCCTGGGGGGGGGGGGGGTGCGGGCAACCCAGGGCATCCCCGCTGTTGGGCAAGAAACGGCCGTCAAAATTCCCCACTATATTTCTAAGATAACAAGGCACACATATGTTTTCCAATGCAAACATACAGGTCTATACTGGTTTAAACTTGGTAAAAATTGAGACACTGTGTATAAAAGGCTATAAAATACCTTTTTCGATGAAACTTGATCGTGCTTCTCCGCCATACTTGTTACCAGGCCTTTCAATGTCAAAACTGTGCAAACTTTCAAAATGGCGGATGTCGGAAATTTCCCAACTCTGGGAGTTGATGCATAGGTCAGATTCCCCTCACTGGGGCTTCATAGTGTGGTCAAAGTCCCCTGGGTTGCCTGCATCCCCCCCCCCCCTCAGGGGGAAAACAGTGATAGGTGCATTAAAATTAGCCTCTCAATACATTACTATATATTAGAGGTGTGCAAATCCGATCCGTTCGGATTTCGGAACCAAAATATTCATTTCGGATCGATAAAGTTGTTTCATAGTCGGATCGGACTTCGATATCCGAAATAAAATGAATTAATTATCTAATGCATTATTCGTTTGATACTTCAATTGGAATTGGAATTTGTCAGCTTCTTGACATGTATTTCTTGCTTTTATATTTATTTGGTTAAATATTTCAACTTGAATGAGAAATTTATTTTATTAAAGAATTCTTCGGATCGGATCGAAACTCGGATCGGATTCGGATTAGACAATTTCGGATCGGATCAGATTTTAAACATAGGCAATTGTCGGATTATAAACGTCCGATCCGATGCAACCTCTACTATATGTATAGGTACCCTGGCCCAGAGGTTTTACGCGAAATGCGAGAAAACGCGCGAAGAAAAAGGAAAAACCTCTGGTGAATTTGTTGGCGATTCCTGGTTCGGATAAAGAATGCAAAAAATGTATAATTGCTTAATGCATCATATTCTAAAAATATTATCCAATCATTATCCTTGACGCCAGGCCGTCTAGACAGCGTTTTATCGCATGTTTACTGTCTAGTGTATGCCTGCCCATTTGTAGCAATATTCATTCTCCTAAATTTCATTCAATTTAAAACATCACATCTATTCAATTTAATATAAATATATATTTATATTCATTCACTTTAATCTTGCAATATACATTCAATTTAATCCTGCAATATACATTAAAAAAAATCTGTATTTTATAAATTTATTAAACACACCTCTTTGGGCCGACGTGAACTTTGTCTGTTAATACAAAAGCAAGCAAATTTGTCTTGTAGATTTCAAATGAAACGATTGAAATCATTCCTCTCCATTTCGCATTTCGAATAATAGACTCGGGATTACAAAATGCGAATGCAAACTCTCCATCTAGTATTGCTTTCTCGTCCTCTTCGTTTGACAGTGAAGTAACACGGCATCCACGCTTTCTTAGTTCACGGACGTGAGAGTCAATGAAAGAGTTCAATTTGCAAATGACTATTAAGATGGGTTTCTCCAGAAAATTGTGGCTTTTGCCAAGTCGTCGTGCTACTCTCGGTGTTAGAACTTTGGAATATTAAACTCTTCCCATAACCGATAGCAAGATGCAAATACATCTTTAATGTGAATCAAATTGGACAAGGCGCGGTATTGATGCTCCGTTAAACTTTTAATTCAGGAAATTTATCAATCTATCTATTAATGCAGCCTATAAAACAGCTTCTTTCAACTTTTGTTCGTTTATTTAATAATATAGACATTTCAAAATTCAAATGTTTCAATTCAATCAAAACACGAAACGCCTGCGAACAGGCTATGATGTTTACAATATCCAATCAGAACACGTAGTCTATCGAACCTATAGTCAGCAACCAATCAACTTCTAGGTTCCAATTTTGAAAGTTATGTGTGGAATGTGACCCCAAAAACCCAGCCAATTTCACCAGAGGGTTATTCAAAACAGGCGAAAATAAATACCCTCTGGTTCCAGGGTAATGTATAGGTAGATAATGATTTGCTAAATACAAAGATAGAAAATATCAATTTATACTTTTGTAAATGAGGACTATAATTGCAGGCAACTTCTTAGCCTGGTTCACATGGTAACAAATCATGAACTTCCATTTATTTTGTTTTAGCTTTCTACGCAGTATCTCATATAGAGAGTTCACAAGACTAATATATGGACGTCTTGGCAACAGAAGAATCCCACTACCTGCATGTGCCTACATTGCAATAAGAAATACATTTCCCATCATGGAAAAGGAAGGACAGTTTACTGGATATTCTGATGACTCAGACTAGGTTCTTTATTCTGCAGGGGTTAGTGGGAATGAACAGCTATAGCTTTGAAATATTTGGTATATATAAAGTATAATGAATAAAATATGACATACTGAACATTTGCCATTTTTTATGAACTGTGTGCAATGATCATGGTATTATCGAGGTATCGTTATATTCTTTTATTAAGTGTCAGCTCTTAAAAGAGCTTTTTTGTTTTGCTTGAAGAAAGCTTTTCTTTCATGATACCTAGGCCTAAGTTCTTATCTGTTTTTTGGACAATCTATATCTTTAGTACGCCCCTTCATTGGATGTCCACATGTTCGACAATTGCGTTTTGGACCTTCATTATTTTTCTTTGCCTCCTTTTGTCGCCTATGTTGTTCCAGATGTTGCAATACTATACAAAGTTGATATAACAAACTTTTTAGTCTAATTTCTGACAAATAAATTTGTCTCTGTCATGGAGTAAAAAACAAAAATGGGAGTGATTTAACCAAACATGAAAAAACAACAGATTTTACAAAGTATTACAAACCAGGAATACTGGGTGGAACATCTTCAATGGTCATTTCTCTCCTGTCATTTCTTTTCCTCACTTCCTCCTCCTTTGTTTGCTTATTTAGCATTGTGTTCATAGCAGGGGGGCACATTTGCTTCAATTCAACTTCCTTGCTTTTCAGGTCCTTTTCAGTCGCTGACAAGAAAGTCTCGTATATTTCTTGTACATAATCTATAAAAAAAGTTAACAAAGTATATTGTAAATAGTTAAATATAAGACAGCATTATAGGCGGCTGGCCATGACATGATTTTGTACAACTTGATGGCAACTTTATGTTAGAAGTTGGTAACAGCTATTTTCTTATAGTTTAAGCCTTGGTATGAGAGAACATGAGATTTTAAATTTTTTGCCATCATAGTAATCTAATCGGCAAAATTTAAATATTCTCAAATTTTCGGCTATAAAGCAAAAATCAGAAGTGGTAACACATATAGTCTTGTTCACCAAGGCTTAAACTATAAGACAATGCCTGTTACCAACTTCTAACATAAAGTTGCCATCAACTCTCTTTGAAGGCACTTTTTGCCACCTTGGCCGGCTGACTATTACCATTTGCAGATAAACAGAAACTTACCAAAGTTCTGAGCAACCCTAACACTTCGAATTGTGGCCTCTCCATTCTTGAATTTGGGGTAGCTGACCTTTATTCTTTCAGATTTATCAGGATTGGTTTTTTTCTCTCTCTGCAGGTTGCTGTTAAAGTGTATTACAGCTAGAATATGCCTAATTATATAAAAGATATATATTAACTCCAATTTCTCTCATAATGTGCTAATAGACTGTTCTTCACCAATCAAAGTAATAAACATTTAAATTAGAAGAGATTCTAACCTGCAGTATTGTCCAACATAAGAGTACGCAATCATCTTGGGTGCAAAGTGATTGAGAACACTATGAAAGCCCTCTAGACAGCTGGTTTGTGCTAATGGAGAAGCTTTCTTGATGCCATTCATAAGCCTTTTGTTTGTAAGTGCGGCACACACTTTGTTATGGAGGGGTGAATCTATAGGAAAGGAATATAAATAAAACATTTTCCTGTTCATGTATGCACCATATTGTGAATATATTCTGATGAGCCGAACATGCTGCAACAAGAAACTGGGTAGTTGTAAAATTCATACTGTAAACTATATGCCATCATAAACATTTAAGGCCAAATGTTTTACATACCAATGGTCAACCACTTTCTAGCAGGAATGTTGCTTCCATGAGCACACTTGTCAAACAGTGGATCACTGTGCCCTGAATGGATGTTGACAATGTGCTGTAGAAAGGATTTGAATTTTGCCCAGATTACCAAACCATTGCCATCATAAGTTGAAGAAGCACTCCAGTGCAGGTGGTTTTCACATGGCTTTATCCACTCATTCAGTGCCTCACAGTCTTTCTCTTTTGCAATTTTGAAAAGCACCTTTCTTATTTCTGCAAGCAATAAAATTTTCAAACAGAAAACAATGTCAACAAGAATTGAAGGAAAATAGTGAAGGGCCCGAAGGCTTAATTTAATTATCATAAACTAACTCATCAGTAATTCAGTGATGTTTATAGCTCAGTGGGTTCTCATCCTAACTCCTAAAGGCCGGCGGCGGCGCACACTAGAGCTATGTGCTTAGCAAAATGTCATTCGTGACTGTTGGCGTAAGGAGATAGCTCTCGTGTGCGGGCGATTTACGAACGACTTTTGTCATTCGTGCCACTTACGCCAAATATCTAACATGTTTGATAATTTCTGCCTCGCGTGCCAAAATCTTTCCGTGTGCGGCGAACGAAAGCTATCTGCTTACGGATTGTCGTAACAGCGCATGCGTAGTATACGAAAGTAAACATCCAAGATGGCGGCGCAAAATGAATTGCTGGCCGAGGTAATTTTAGAGGACAAACTTACTGGCTATTTCTTTCACCGCACATTCTCTTTTGTCCCTCTTTCTAAAATCTGCAGAACTCACATCGTATAAACATTTGTATTCAGGCCAAAGTTCGACAAGTTTGTCCTCTAAAATTGCCTTGGCCAGCAATTCATTTTGCGCCGCCATCTTGGATGTTTACTTTCGTATACTACGCATGCGCTGTTACGACAATCCGTAAGCAGATAGCTTTCGTTCGCCGCACACGGAAAGATTTTGACACGCGAGGCAGAAATTATCAAACATGTTAGATGTTTGGCGTAAGTGGCACGAATGACAAAAGTCGTTCGTAAATCGCCCGCACACGAGAGCTATCTCCTTACGCCAACAGTCACGAATGACATTTTGCTAAGCACATAGCTCTAGTGTGCGCCGGCCTTAAGCAGTCTGGACATTAGCATGAATTATATTATTTAAAAAATTGGAAATATTCTCACTTTTCTTCAAGTGCCACACATCGAAATAGTGGATAATTTGTTTCAAAACTGTCCGCATATACTTTGCAATTGAAGTATGCCTGTCTGATATGAAGGTAGTAATGGTGAGGCCATAGTTGATAAGGTAGACCATGGATAACTTAAAAGACATAAACTCCATTGCTGGACTACTTCCTGCCTGATTTCTCTAAAAGGAAGAAAAACAATGTTGCAATAACAGTTGTTAGAGTCATTGAATAATCAAGAGCTAGTAACTAGTAAGTGAAGCTATAGTATTATTTACAGTATTCCTACCTGCACAAGATTAAAATGGATAATTTGTGCAAGAGTACAACAAAAAATTGTATATGCACAAAACTTGGCAGAATGACCCATGCTGTCATGCCGACCATCCCCTACCAGAACAACACCATTTCTTAGTTTCTTGGCTTTCTCCAACAACAATGACTGGTACTTCTTCCAGTGAAGGAAGATGGTGGGGAATAGCACAGTCTATATAGTACAACATAATTTATAAATTATATAGTTCAAATATATTGTATCAATCAATGGGCCATTCCATTTAATGTAGGCACCATCCCCCCCCCCCCCTAAATCCTATGGGGGGAGGGTGTTTTATCTTAAATTTTCCTAGAGGGTAGCTTAGGAAATTGTCCAAAAATAGCAAAAATTAGTTGTTTTAGTGATATCCAAGGGGTAAATTACTAAAAATGATATCCTGTTAAAGGGGGTATAAAGATATCCATGGGGTAACTTCCAAAAATCACATCCAAGGGGGTTCTAAAATTTTTATACCCTAAGGGGATTATGAAGGGACCCCTCAATAGGGGGGGGGGCTATATTAAATGGAATGGCCCAATGCATGCTTATTTTAAGGAGAATTAAGTTTCATTTCCTTTAGATATACATAAGTTTAGAAGCACTGCAAACAATACTTCGTAGTTCGTTTATAAGAAAATGCTCTTTCTTACCTTCTGATAACGGAAGTATGTTGTATGGGAGACACATCCAAGACCCATATGTGCAAATATTTGGCGTATTTTAGTAAAAGAGCCACCACCAAGCGAGACTGCCATACATAAAAGAAAGTTTCCAGCACGTGCTTTTGTACGCCCAGGTGTTAGTGGCTGGGTATACCATGTTGTGGTTTTCTGTGGGCAATTTGGGTTGTGGCATGTTGAGGTTACAACTGCTGCAGTTCCAACAGCTTTTGCTTCCACCAATGGATTATCAGCTTTGCATGAATGGCAAAAAAGTAGCAGAAGCTGTGACAGAAACACAATGTGCTTTGGTTCTAACCGTAGATTTCCATTGTGTTGCAACAACCTGAAACAAGCAAAAGTGCAACATTATAATAATATACAATAGGTAGTTGTGATGCTTGTTATTGCAAAAGGCGGTGCCAAGGTTATTCCAGGTGCATAATCGAAAAGGTCGTGAAAGTTAATATTATGCGGTTTCGAACACGATGTTCTATCGACTTTCAAGGCCCTTGTAGCAGAGACTTGAATTTGGGCCGAGTCAAAGTTATTTTTCTAAAATCTACCATCCATAAGCTTTCTGTCGATGCCTAATTCGTGCATCACTAGGCCGGATATGGAGATAAAATGCAGGTTTTTCCAGGTGCATAATCGATAAAGACGTGAAAGTTGATATTACGTAAGTGAGGGTTAGGGTTTGGCCTGTTTCGAACCTTGCGTTCTATTGAATTGCAAGGTCCCTGGAGCGGAAACGTGAATTTACGCCGGTCTGAAAATTGTATTTTTGGAATCTACGGTTCACAAGCCTTGTATCGATGCCTCATTCGTGCATCACTAGACAGTCCATGAAGATAAAAAGCAGGTTATTCCAGGTGCATAATCGAAAAGGTCGTGAAAGTTAATATTATGCGGTTTCGAACACGATGTTCTACCGACTTTCAAGTCCCTTGTAGCAGAGACTTGAATTTGGGCAGCCTGTAAATTCTATTTCTAGAATCTACGATCTATAAGCTTTCTGCCGATGCCTCATTCGTGTGTCACTACACCGGATGTGGAGATAAAATGTAGTCTGTCCAGGTGTATAATCGAAAAATAGGTACGTTAAGTGTGCATGTATCTGCTCATGGTGATTGCACTGTTGCCAAGGGCTTCAATCAATACTCAGTAGCTTTTTTTTCAGTCAAAATTTTAAATAAATTGAGATAAAGTTAGATTTATAGTATGTCAGATGAAAGAAAAATAAAATGGCTGATGTATATTCAACTTGCAGAAACTAATTCCGGTCATAACTTCACAAAGATGATATTCAGTTTTAGTTTTATAATGGTGGTCTGCCAGTTCTGGTGCCGAGTTGTGTCGGACATGCGTGCCGCCCTCTCATCAACTTGCTTCACTACTGCAAAGCCTTGCTTGACTACAGTATTTGAATTGTAATTGTTGTTTACAGTTCGCTTATCATCATATTACTCAAATTACTGTATCTCATTTTGTCTCTAATAATTTTTGCTTTATCATGAAAACTAGCACCCCCCCCCTGCACCCCCTCTGGCCTTGGCTAGGGCAGTGCCCCCCCTTCCCACATCCCCCCTCCCCCAGTAAATCCATCGCTGTGTTCTTGTTGAAACATTTTGGGTTCCAAATCTTCTTGATAGTACATAATAAACTTTAGCAGGCATGCGAGAACATTGTAGATGCATAGAAGTTGTCAGGATAACAGGTGGTGCCAATATACATTTGCAGAGTTTTGAAAGCGTTTTTATATCATAATTGATACATAACATCAACATTTCTGCTGTTTTATAATTGATCTATTTCATTTTAGAAAATGTCATAGTCAGGGGTGATGGCACACAAATCAACTGTTGAAAGTCATTCATCAGTAACAAATGATGCCAAGTATGAAAATTAGAAGTATAATCGATGCATATAGTTCTTGAAAGAATGATATAATTCAGCATAACAGATCCATGCAATAATATTTTGTCGTGGAAGAAAATCTAATAATCAGAATATTATGTTAGTTTTGTACATTGTGTGCTATAAATCAGATCTCATTATAACATATGGTTGTTGTTGATTATAAGACAATATATTATGGGATAGGGGAAGGGAGATATAAATTGCTTACTTGGTGTTCTTGAAAATGACATTCAGTTGCAGAAATCAGGGTCGATGAAGAAGGGAACACCCGCCACGCCCCCCCCCTCCCAACCCCCCAGGATATATAGTTATATACTGCAAGTTGATAATTATGACTGGTCGCAACTGTTACTATAAGTATTGGTGTTCCAATCTAAAGCTGAATCACTGCTCTTTATGCAGCCACTATTACTTTGGTTTTTCTTTAACGAAAGCAATTGTTCAATGCACATACTGCTATAAAGTGCTTTAAGAGAAATGTTTCCAATATTTGCTTCTGACTAGAGCTGCTAAATTTGTATAAAAATGATCTATCAAGGTCTGCTTGTCTGTAATGAAAGCAGACACCAATTGTCTATAGTTATAATCATTGATAAAGAAACTATGTTATTATTTATGTAACCTTACCAAATTATATAGCCTTCTATTGGTTTCATTCAACTAATTTATATTAATTAAAGTCACCAATGAAAATGCTAAATTGAGGAGTACATAAACATCAACACTTACAACTCGATGTACACCTACAACGGCAACATGTTGAAGAATCACTACTTTCATAGTTAATAATATTTTCAATGCCAATAGTCAATTTTCTTGTCAAAAATTGCGAATCATTTCGTTTCCACTACGTATTAAATTATGAAACTCTTCAAATGGTTGCCACAAATGCACTATCGACATTTGCCATATTCAGACTAGTAAAATGACGTTGTTTTGACTGCATTTGATGTATAATTTTAATCGTAAATTCAGTAATTCACATTTCACCCTTAAGTAAACCGATATTTTGAAATTAGTATATTACGTCATTTACGCCTTCGTAGATTGGCTATGAGCACGCTTACAAACTTCCGGTACGCGCACGATAGCAATATATCTGTTTTCGCAGATACAAAAAGACGTGAAAGGTAATATTATATAAGTGAGGGTCAGGGTTTGGGCTCGATTAAATTTCAAGGCCTCTGCAGCAGAAATTGGAATATATCAAGGTCTAAAAATTATATTTTTGGAATCTACGGCCCATAAGCTTTCTGTCGATGCCTTACTCGTGTATGAAAATACAGTCCATAAAGATACAAAGCAGGTCATTCGAAGTGCATAATCGAAAAGGACGTGAAAGTTAATATTAAGCGTTTCGAACCTTGTATTCTATTCAAATTCAAGGTTCCTGTAGCGCGGAAACGTGCATTTACGCCGGTCTGAAAATTATGTTTTTAGAATCTACGGTCCACAAGCTTTCTATCGATGCCTTACTTGTGTATCAAAACACAGTCCATGAAGATACAAAGCAGGTTATTTCATGTGCATAATCGAAAAAGACTGACGTGAATGTTAATATTATGCTGTTTCGAACCTTGCGTTCTATTGGATTTCAAGGCCTCCGAAGCAGAAACTGGAATTTATCACGGTCTAAAAGTTGTATTTTTAAAATCTAAGGTCCATAAGCTTCCTTCCGATGCCTTACTCGTGTATCAAAAGACAGTTCATGAAGATACAAAGCAGGTTATTCGAGGTGCATAATCGAAAAGGACGTGAAAGTTAATATTATGCGGTTTCGGACCTTGCGTTCTCTTGAATTTCAAGGTTCCTGTAGCGGAAACTTGAATTTACGCCGGTATTATGCGTTTCGAACCTTGCGTTCTATATAATTTCAAGGCCTGTGCAGCAGAAACTGAAATTTGTCACTGTCTAAGAATTGTATTTTTGGAATCTACGGTCAATAAGCTTTCTGCCGATGCCTTTTCTCATGTATCAAAAGACAGTCCATGAAGATACAAAGCAGGTTATTCCAGGTGCATAATCGAAAAAGACGTGAAAGTTAATATTATGCGGTTTCGAACCTGATGTTCTATCGAATTTCAAGTCCCTTGTAGCAGAGACTTGAATTTGGGTCAGCCTGTAAATTGTATTTCTGGAATCTACGATCCATAAGCTTTCTTTTGATGCCTCCTTGGTGCACCACTAGGCCGGACGTGGAGATAAAAAGCAGTTTTTTTCAGCGGTGTAATCAAAAAAGACGTGACTGTTAATATTATGCCATTTCGAACCATATGTTCTATTGAATTTGAAGGCTCCTGTAGAAGAAACTTGAATTTGGGCCAGTCTGATAACTGTATTTTTAGAATATACGGTCCTATGCCTTTTGTCGATGCCTGATTCGTGCATCATTAGACGTCATCACTAGACGATAAAAACCAGGTTTTTACGGATTCATGTATAATCCCTGCCCAACATACAACCAGGAATCGAACCTAGCTTCTCACACGTGCAAAACTTCCTCCTTATCGTTAGACCACCTCGCCTGCACTTGCTGTAACTCCTTTTCTTTTCTACTTAACTCTTTTTCGTGTCGGCTACAACGATGCTTGACATTAAAAGGCTTTTTGACTCCAGCAGGAATCGATCCTGTAATCTAAATCCTTTCGACAAAAGCGGGAATCGATCCTGGCTCTACGCACTTGCAACACTTCGTCCTTACCACTAGACCATCTCGCCTACACTAGCTTTAACTCCTTTTTTATTCTACTTAACTCTTTCCCGTCTCGGGTGGAATTAATTGACAACGATGCCTGATATTAAAATGCTTTCAACAGAACCAGGAATCAATCCTGGCTTTACGACCTTGCAACACTTCGTCCTTACCACTAGACCATCTCGCCTACACTTGCATTAACTCCTTTTTTATTCTTCTACTTCACTCTTTCTCGTCTCGGATGGAATTAATTAACAACGATGCCTGACATTAAAATGTTTTCGGCACCACCAGGAATCGATCATGCAAGACTCCGTCCTTACCACTAAACCATCTCGCCTTCAGTTTCTCTAATTCCTTTTTTTATTCTCAGGGGCGTAAATGTGGGGAGGGGGGGAGGGGGTGGTTCACCCCCCAAAGAAAT